TATTCCTAGGATTGTGGAAGAGTATAATCCCTTAAATATGGGGATTAAAATAATTAGTCCCTTAATTATAGGGATTGATTTAGGAAGATTTTTTTTCCATTTATTGCAGCAGCTTACTGTATAAATAGGCTGGTTGGCAATGGAATGAAAATATCAGTTTTTTACCATTTCAAAACAGTTTGTGAGGTGTTCCAGTTATCAAAACAATGTAGAACTCTTTATTCAATTTCTAGTAATGAAATTCAAGTTCCTTTTGATTTAGTTCATTCTAATGTATGAGACTCATCACCTCTTGTTTTTATAGATGGCTTTCATTACTTTATCAGCTTTATTGATCACTATTCACAATGCACATGGATCTACTTGTTAAAAGGGCGTGATAAAATACCACGAATAACCATGGCATTTTATAAAATGATTGAAACTCAGTTTGGCAAGAAAATTAAGCAAATTCATCCAGATAATGTTGTTGAATATTTTGAAAGCTCTTTGAATATGTTCATGGAGGATGCAAGTATTTAACATCAGTCATTATGTGCTAGTTCCCCTCAATAGAATGGGGTTGTTGAGTGCAAAAATAGACATTTATTGGAGACAGCTCGAGCCTTATTGTTTCAGCACAAGCTTCCCAAGCACTATTGGTCTCAACTCTCAAGCAGTCCTTACAGCATCGTATCTAATAAATAGAATGCCATCTAGGGTGTTGGATATGAGAACTCCTTTCTCTATCTTTTGTCCTAACCTTCCAGATTTCCCTCTTCCTCCCAGAGTCTTTGGTTGTGTGTGTTTTGTTCATGTCAATGATCCTAAGAAGACTAAGTTGGATCCTAGGGCTACAAAAGGGGCCTTCCTAGGGTACTCTCCCCTGTTATTGCTCCTAATGTTGAGGAGGTGACTGATAACATTAATAGACAACAGAAAGATATGAGAATTGCCTACAGAAGAAGAAAAAAAGATCCTCCAACTTGTGGTAACAACCAATCAAACTCGGATCAATCTGTCTCAATGGTTCTAGGTAATCCTATTACTCATACTTCTGATTTGGATCTTCCCATTGCTCTTCATAAGCCTACCCGTTCTTCTGTTCATGTTCCTACTAGGTACTCAGAGGTAGTGTCTGACCCAAGATGGAGAGAGGCAATAAATGAGGAAATGAAAGCCTTAATGAAGTCCAGGACTTGGGAATTAGTGGATCTACCAGAAGGGAAGAGCACTGTGAGATGTAAGTGAGTGTTCACTGTGAAGCACAAGGAGGATGGTTCCATTGAAAGATATAAGGCTAGACTAGTGGCAAAAGGGTTTACTCAAAAGGAAGGGATTGACTACAAGGAGACTTTTGCTCCAGTTGCAAAGCTTAATACAATCTGAGTTCTATTGTCATTAACTGCAAATTTTACATGGGAACTACATCAGTTGGATGTGAAGAAAGCTTTCTTGAATGGTGATCTACATGAGGAGGTATTCATGAATCCTCCACCTGGTTATGATTTTCATGGGAAGGTATGTTGGTTAAGGAAAGCATTATATGGGCTTAAGCAATCTCCTTGAACTTTGTTTGAAAGGCTCTGTGGGGCCATGAAAAAAGTGGGATACACTCAGAGTGGTGCAGATCATACCTTGTTCATAAGAAAATAGGGTAGCAGGCTTACAGTACTTATAGTCGATATGGATGATATGGTGATTACAGGAAATGATCCGGAAGAGGTAAAAAGATTGAAGGAGTTCTTGGCATATGAATTTGAGATCAAAGATTTAGGCCATCTGAGATAGAGATACTTCCTTAGAATTGAAGTTGCAAGGTCACAAGAGGGCATTTATATATGCCATATGACGTATGTTCTTGATCTTCAAGAGGAGACAGGTATGATGGGGAGTAAACCAGCAAATACTCCAATAGAGTTGAATCATTGTCTCCAGGAACCGATTGGAGAGGACTACCCTGATAAAAAAAGATACCAAAAGCTAGTGGGAAAATTGATATATCTATCTCTTACCCGACCTGATATAGCTTATGCAGTGCATGTTGTTAGCCAATTCATGCACCCTCCCAAGATTCCTCATATGAAAGTAGTTGAAAGGATCCTCAGGTATTTAAAGACATGTCCAGGGAAAGGAGTTTTGTTCAAAAAGCACAATAAAATTGAAATTAAGGCGTATACTGATGCAAATTGGGCTAGATCAATTGGAGATAGGAAGACTACTTCCGGATATTGCACATTTGTTGGAGGGAATTTGGTTACTTGGAGAAGTAAAAAGCAAAATGTGGTTGCAAGATCAATTGCAGAAGTTGAATATCGGGTTATGGCACATGGTGTTGCAGAACTATTGTGGCTTAGGACCCTCCTTGGTGAGCTCGGGATGAAGGTTGATGGTCCTCTCAAGCTATATTGTGACAACAAGGTTGCCATCAACATTGCAAATAACCCAGTACAAAATGATAGGACTAAGCATATTGAGATTGACCAACACTTTGTAAGAGAGAGAATTGTCTCAGGCAAACTTTGCATCCCTTATACACCCTCTGAGATGCAAATTGCTGATGTTTTGACAAAAGGACTGTCTTCAGTGAAGTTTCTAGGCTTACTTGGCAAGCTAAACATGACCGACATCCATGCTTAGCTTGAGGGGGAGTGTTGGATCGAGTGGTTAAGTGTTGGTGGGCTTATGTATCTTTTATGTTTCAGTTCTATAGTCTGTTATGGGCCTTTAGTTATTGGGCCTAAACCTGTTTTATTTTATTATGTCTAGGTGTCCCATCACTAATCAGGGGCATTCTAGTCTATTCATGTAATATCTTATTGTTAATATATGTAATAGCTTCCAGGGCCAGCTGAGAATACATTGTCACCCATTCACAAGCTTCTTCTCTTCTTCTTCTACTGTTGTACTTCAGCAAACAGTTTATGCGTTTCCTTTTAGAAAAGGGTAACTTTAACGCAAAAAATAAAATAAAATAAAATAAACTCACCATCCCTGATTTGGCCAAACCATCAGCCACACAATTCAGCTCTCTAGGAATCCATCTAAAATGACACACCATAGTAGACTTGATTGCCAAGATCTCATTAAAAATGCAGTTGGATCTCCAAGGATCCTCCTTAAAACTTTTCATCCAGCTGATTACATTCTTGGAGTCACCTTCCACCACCATCTCACTGAGGTTAAGAGCCACCACAGATCTCAAACCCACTACCAAGGCACAGATTTCAGCGGTTAACCGAACTGACTGGTATATTATATATCATTTATTATTTATTATATAATATTATACATATATTTGTATAATATATTATAAATATAAAAAACCGAAAAACTGAAGAACCGAACCGGTCAAAAACCGAAACCGGCGGACCAGTTAACCGGTGGTACCAGTTCGGTTTCGGTTTGGAGAATTGGAAAAACCGGTACCACTGGTTTGGTTTACAAAAGACAACCCTACACAGCCTTGCCCCTATGCATACAAAGAGGCTGTTTCCAAGAGTTGAACCCTGGTCACCCATATCGCAATGCAGCAACCCAACTGTTGCACCAAGGCCCACCCTCTTGTTGAATACGTAAGGAGAAAAAGAAAATGTTGCATAGAAGTTTCCCTCAAGAATCCATCAGGTGTGATGTATATCCGAGATGGACAATTAATCCATTTAAGAGGTCTATGCAACACTGACTGGTGCACAATATATAAGCAATCATCCGCCCCTAAGAAATAAAAACTAAACTGGGATAGAGCTCCCTCTCTCTATTTTCAAAATTGCAGGCCATCAGGAGGCTGTGTATCAGGAATGTACGCCTTTTTCTGGTGGCTTTAGAAGGAAAAAAATAGAAGAATTGTTTACGATCTTTACCGGTAGAAAATCTTTTATAATGTTTTTTGATTCCCCCCCCCCCCCCCACTTGCATATTATGCTATGCAGACTTGTTGGGGACAACGAGAAGCTATTTTGCGGAATAAACCATTTTGTCTTTGTACCTTTTGTATTTTTCTGCATTTTGTTCTTTTGAGGGGTGATTATTCTCTCTTTCTCTCTCTATAAAAGATTGGCAACAAGGAAAAAGAATTGCATCTCGTTGAGAGGAAGAATTAAGCTAAGTCCTACTCTTGCAACTTGCCAATCTTTTATTTACCTATTGGTCTTTAAAATACCTATGCTGGTTATGAAAAGGGGTTAAAAAGATCATTACAGACTTTTTATAGGAGCTAGGGGTTCCGAAAAATACTATTGGATCATGTGGTAGTGCAACTTCTTTGGAGAAGTTGATAACCTACCAAGTATTATTCTTTGCTGGAGCTCTCCTTTCCTCCACTTTGTTTGTCTCTCAGGTACTGGCAAAGCTTCTATATTACCATGAGGAATATAAACAGAAGATAGTGTAGAAACAAAAGTGCGATATGAAGATGACAGGGAGGAATGGGAAATAAAATGCAAAATAAGATGACAGGTACACTAATGTGTTCCTTTACTATAAGAAATGAGAAGATGCAAATCATTAGGAGAATCAAGAGAAATAGAAGAGAAGTGTTAATACCAGGATAATTTGTACATGGAAATTCAAATTGATCTTGAGAAATGTTACCAAAAGCCATTATGTCCTTTTTTCTGGTCTGAATTTGTAACTTCTTTGGAGAAGAACCAGAAATATCTACCATATGAAGAGAGGAAGGAAGATGGGAGAGGTATAGAAGTGGAATAGGAAAATGGTACCTCTCTTTCATAGAACTCTCCCCTTAAAAGGATGAATTAGAAAGGTAAGGCTGGGACTCAAAGAAAATAACATCCATAGAGATGTGCCGCTTCTTATTACAGAATCTAAATGTGAACAAATCCAGAGCAGAATACAGAAGTCTGGGGGTGAAGAATGGATGCTTAGAGCCTATCCCAAGGGGCCCTTATATAGATAATGAAATTAGAGTTTTTACAGAGAGGCCCTTGTAGGGCAACAAAATATAATTACAGAAAAACCCTTGCAGGGCTGAAGAGAAAATTATAAAATATACATCAGTTAGATACAAGACAATAGGAACTATGGTAATATGGAACATCGGTGAGTTTCTTCACACTCCCCCTCAAACTGATGCAGAGGCATGATCATCAGTTTGCTTAAAAGAAATAAGTGTCTGGACCTTGTCATTGGCCTTGATGAAGATGTCAACGACTTGCATATCATAGGCAACATGAGGGAGAGAGATAGAGTTCACAAGAAATAGGTTGTGGATAAGGTGGCAGTCCACCTCAATATGCTTCGTCCTATCATGAAAGACAGGGTTAGAGTTAATCTTAATAGCACTAATGTTGTTTGCATAGAGAGGGGTGTAGGAGAGGAATGACCCAACTCCTTAAATAAAGATTGAAGCCAAACAACTTCACTACAAACAGATGAATTGTCCCATGAAAGACAGGGTTAGAGTTAATCTTAATAGCACTAGTGTTGTTCGCATAGAGAGGGGTGTAGGAGAGGAATGACCCAACCCCTTAAATAAAGATTGAAGCCAAACAACTTCACTACAAACAGATGAATCGCCCTGTACTTTGCTTCTGTAGAGGACTTGGAAACAGTCTGCTATTTCTTGCATTTCCATGATGTTAGAGAGTCACCCATGAAGACACACCACCCTGTAGTGAAATGACGTGTGTTGGGGCATCCGGCCCAATCTGCATCAACATAGACTCTTAGTTGGATAGAAGATGAAGAGAAGAAAAGACCTTGTGATAAAGAGCCCCAAACATAGCAGATGATCCGATGTACTACAGTCAAATGAGGTTGACGAGGGGCAGAGACAAATTGACTAACAACTTGAATTGCATGTGAGATGTCAAGACGAGTCATGGTGAGATAAATGAGAGAGACAAGTTGCCGATAGAGGGAGGCATCAGGAAGTAGGGAGCCTTTTGATTTGGACAATTTGACATTCAATTCCATGGGAGTATCAACTCGTTTATCATTAAGGTTGGCCAACTTAACAAGGTTAGAGGCATGCTTGTGTTGGCAAATAAAATATCCTTGGGTGCTCGGTTGAACTTCAAGTTCTAAGAAATAGTTAAGAGGGCCTAGATCTTTCATGTGAAAGGAACTGTGGAGAAGAAACTTGAGGTCCTGAATTCCTTCTATATCATCTCCAGTAAACAACATGTCATCCACATATAGTAGGAGAATGGTAAGGCCCTAGGATCTTTTCCGAACAAAGAGAGAGTAGTTCGGCGCACTCAGGCTATACCCGACTTGCACAACATCTTTGAATTTTTCAAACCAAGCTCGAGGGACTTGTTTTAGCACATAGAGGGATTTCTTTAGCTGACAGATGAGGGAGGGATCACTACAGTACCCTGGAGGAGGTTTCATATATATTGTTTCCTTTAGATGTCCATGTAGAAAAGCATTTTTCACGTCCAGTTGAAAACAAAGTTTTAAAAGGCTAAAGGCGGAGGC